ATAATACCCTGACAACATAGTTGTGTAGGGTATGAACATTTCCACAGTCCATGAAAATGAGCCTAGAATACTGTGTGCTAAATTTCGTTGAAATATTTTTGAAGTTACATATAGCTCCCATATATATGTTCGTCAGATTTTAGGTAAAAGATACACTAATGCCCCTGTATATTTTTCGAATTATTAACTTGGTGTAGTCAGACAATATTTGAAATATCTTTTATAAATATGGAATACCGTATGTCTTACGACGGTAGGGTTATCAACATGTCTTTTATTTGTAAAAATATTCTCAAAGGCATATTTTTTATTTAAGAGCTGTATTATAAACAGGATGCCTCCCAAAGGTCTTCTACTAGGAGAGGGTCTTTAAGATATTATCTATAAATGGAATCAATTCTATACGCCTGGTTTATGAAAAATGTCTTCATCAAGTTTTTGTGTTCATAGAAGGCGGCTCTAAAAAATAAGAATTTCCAGGCATCTTCTCTGCATTGAGGATTTTCCAGATGCCTTCCACAAATTCATTATACGCGGAAGACCTTTTAATCAAACTTCCATACATCGAATACGTTTTATGTATAAATGTAAATCATAAATCCGCCCTGTGAATATCCATGTTTTGAGAAGTAACTTTCAACTTCCACTGATCCTAATGGTCAATATGTTTCCTTCCAAGATTACAAGACTATTGAATTTTTCCATCATTTCATCAAACCCGAATACATTGAACAGAGTATCAATAACACACTCTCAACTCCGCCTTGACTTGTTCACATATTTTCCATTTCCTCCATTTCGAAGCTACTTTAATAATCATCCATCTACATATGCATAGAACAACAGCAACAACACACAAACAGCATCTTGAGTGCATACAGGAGGTATTGCATACATTAGTTATTCTTTCACGTGTGAAAACATTCTTTATACGCAGTCAACACACAAATATGCTGTGACATCGGCAGCAGTAGCAACAACAACAAGAACATCATTTGTAACACTACTACAAGGCAAGGCAACAGCGGCATGAACAACAGCAACAACAATACCTGGCTTGTTGTTCATTCAGTGATGCAACAATATCAGGGGGTAGCTGATATGGTAACACATGCCGGCATACGAATTTTTCCTATTATTTCCTATTTTATGCAACCAGACTACTCTTTTTTTTTGGATGTTTGGCACAAAAAGTCAGTCAGAGTCCCCGAAAACCGGGCAGCCAGACAAGTAGACGGGTAGACAGCCAAACAGACACCAAACAAAGGATAAAGCTCTGTCTCTAAAGCAAGAGCGAGATGTACCCCAAACAAAAATGCTGTCTATGTCTTGAAAGCTGTTGTTGAAGTTGAATATTGTTGTCGTTGTTTTTGTTACCTTTCTTGTTGTTGTTGTCGAGTGCAATGCAGTCATGTATGCAGGTGAATAACATAAACAACAAGGACAGGCAACACAAGTTGCACAGCCGAGTTGTTCGTGTAGTGGTGGTAGTCGAACAAGTACCAGTAACACAGCAGCCATAGCTAAAACACTGAATGAAACATCTTAAATTCAAACTCAGATACAGATTGAGACAGACACGTTCCCAGTCAAATGGGACGTAGCGGCAGAGAGATAGACAGATAGACCGGCAGAATTGCAGACTTATAGCATAGATATGGTTTCTGTATTTTTTGTTATCTATACATAAATATACTAAACCATCTCTGGGCAGAGTCTGGAAGGATTGATGTTACAAAGTTTATATATTTACCATGCCATATCCTGGTTGTTACTATCTCTTTAGGTTATCATCCACATAGCTGTGTGAGTGTGGCTGTGTGTGTCTGTGCATACATATTTATTGTGTCTGACTGTGTAAGTGATTGTTGTCATCATTCTATTCCAAAGAATGTTGGTATACACAGATGAAAAAAAGAAACAACTCTGAGTAAGCATGTAAATACTGTCTACCTGTATGTCTGGAATTTTTACGTTAAAATATACTGAATATTTGTTGTTGTTTTTTTCTTCTTCATCTTGTATTTTTGTTAACGCATAAATTTTGTGGAAGGGAGGATAAAAACATAAACATATTTTCTTTAGCATGTTGCCGACGAGAGAGTTTCATAATATGGCAAGGCAGAAAAAAAAACAATATGTTTAAGGGAGTGATGCTGTGATAGAAATGTGTTTATTGTGAGTCATTGCAGGGATTTTAAGAACAGGGTTTAAGGTTTTATAGGTGCCAGTATTGGAACTAGAAGTACGACACTATTTCAATCATTATTTTTTTCAGAAATATTGATATTATAGTGCACACAAATATATTGTTGTACAATCCTTACTGCTTTTGCACATTGGACTGAGGTGACGGACTATCTATATGATGGTATCTTTCAAAATTCAGAATTAGATTAAATTGGACGTAATTTTCCTACCGAAAATATTGGATCATGTTTCGAGGTTTCCCAAATATTACCGTAACCCCTACTATGTTGTCCATTTCTTCTCCGAATTTTGGAGTCGATCTAACTATCCAAAATGCTCAATATTGGTCCATTGCTTAGGATAGGCAGTTTGGATACTTTCTTCAACGAAATTGATTTGATTTTATATTTGGAATTTATATTAGAAAGAAAATCGCCTTATCCCAAACATTGGCCATGTTTCGGTGTAGCCCTTATATAAGGTAAACCCATAGGGTTCGGTATTTTGTGTTTCGGTGTTCTTCTCATTGGGAAGAAAATCTCGCTGCCAAAAATAATCAATATTCTTCCCAGTTTCGGGATAGCCACCATGTAATCCTAGCCGCCTCTATTCAGTGTTTGGAGGTTTTTTGCAATTTTTCATTGGAACTGGTTTTGATTCGATATTTTAAGTTCAGTTAGGTAAAAATTCTTCCCACCAATATTTGTATACCCTTCACCACACTGTGGTACAGGGTATTATGTCTATGTGCATATGTTTGTAACAGGCCAAAGGTAACGAGATAGATACATGATTCCTTTTGAAAATATCCATAGAATCACTTTTTAAGTCAATTTATGCATGTCCGTCCGTCTGACCATCGGTCTGTCCATGTTAAATTGTAAACAAAGTACAGGTGGCATTTATAATCCGATTTGGATGAAATTTGGCACAGTTCATTTATTTGGCCCAAGGACGAACCCTATTGAAATTGGGAAACATCGGTTCAGATTTAGATATAGCTCCCGTATATATTTTCGTCCGATTTAATGTAAATGGTGTACCAAAGTCCCTATATATCTTTGGATTTGCATGAAATTTGGTATAACGTACTGAATTGGGCCTAGATTTAGATATAGCTCCCATATATAGTTTCGTCCGATTTTATGTAAATAGTGCACCAAAGTCCCTATATATTATTCGATTTGCACGAAATTTGGCATACTGAATAATGTGTGCTAAGTTTCATAAAAATCGGTTCCCAGATAGATATAGCTCTCATATATATTTTCGCCCGATTTAATATAAATGTTGTACTAAAGTCGATTTGCACGAAATTTATCATAATCCGATTTGGATGAAATTTGGCACAGCTCATTTATTTGGCCCAAGGACGAACCCTATTGAAGTTGGGAAAAATCGGTTCAGATTTAGATATAGCTCCTATATATATTTTCGTCCGATTTTATGTAAATAGTGTACCAAAGTCCCTATTTATTGTTTGATTTGCATGAAATTTGGCATAGCGTACTGAATTGAGTCTGGAATAATGTGTACTAAGTTTCATAAATATCGGTTCGGAGATAGATATAGCTCTCATATATATTTTCGCTCGATTTTATGTAAATGGTGTACTAAAGTCCATTTGCACGAAATTTACCATAATCCGATTTGAATGAAATTTGGCACAAGTCGCTTATTTGGAACAAGGACGAACCCTATTGAAGTTGGGATAAATCGGTTCAGATTTAGATATAGCTCCTATATATATTTTCGTCCGATTTTATGTAAATAGTGCAAATCGAACAATGAATAGGGACTTTATTCATTGTTCGATTTGCACGAAATTTGGCATAGCGTACAGAATTAAGTCTGGAATGATGTGTGCTAAGTTTCATAGAAATCGGTTCCAGGAAGATAGATATAGCTCCCATATATATTTTCGTCCTATTTAAGGTAAATGGTGCACAAAAGTCCCTATATATCGTTCGATTTGCACGAAATTTAGCATGGAGTGCTGAATTAAGAATGATGTGTGTTAAGTTTCGAGCAAATCGGTTAATTTTCATTTGACTTCAAGCAATTTGTGTACCAAATAATAACCATTTATCAAATCGCAATAAAATTTCGACTGTACACTCTTCTCCAGCATACCAAATGGTTGCTCAAACTCGTCCAGATTTACATATAGCTCTCATATATAATTTGGCTCGATTTCATACAAATGGTACACCAAAGAACCCAAGTCACCCAAGTCATTGACATGCTATTTGTCATAGATTTAAGAACTGTATGTGTATAGGTTGTTTAGCTCAAATATCTATGTAGTCCATACATTTAATTACGCCAAGTCTACAGGATATTGTACACATGAGCCTTTCTTGTATTTACCAATAGTGGTGAAGGGTATCATATCATAGTCGGCTCCGTCCGACTTTTGAACTTTCCTTACTGGTTTGGTATTTCGATTTGTTCAATTCACCATGAAGCAGCCATATAATTCTCGATCGACTTTCGGTATTTCGAATTACCACCCCATGTTGAATTGTAGCAAGAGTTCGGACCCAGATTTACTTTACTTATATGAAATTCTAATCCACTACTTTCAATTTTTTTTCTAAAATATCTCATATATTCCTACATTTATAAGCATTTATATTAGTCAGTGTATCCGCCACAGAACTGCACTGCAATCCCTTGCTGATGCATTCAATATTTTTTTTTCTTTTTTGCCTTTTTTCCTCGAGATGAGATGAAATCCAGGAAGTATTCGTATTTTTTTCTGATACTGTATCAAGGAATTGAATACATAATTTGAAACTGTAACTTACCTCACATATTGATTGGCTTATATTATGTAAATTTAAGCGAAATATACGATCCCTGCAATAGATATAAGAAATTGAAATAAAAATATTAGTAATGGTGTACAATATAATTTTTGGGGTATATTGAAAAATGTAAATTGCAGATATCAGTTTTTTTCATTACAAGTATTTATGAATCATTTATAGAGAAAAATAATGGGGATATAATAAACGGAATTTGAATGAATCAATTTAATAAAAGGGGAAAAATGGGTTGGGAAATATAAAATTTAAGAATTTTTGAAAATAGGATTAAATAAAAAAATAAAATATTTTGATAGTAGTTATGTCCTCAATAGGGTAATATTTAATAATAATGAACGTAACATCTACTATGATTGCTATAAATGAGAATTACGGAAACAAAATTATTATTGGGTATCCAATTGAACTTCTCTGCATAGACCTTCCCTCTCGTTAGTGCATTTTTTTAGTAGTAATTAATCGATTTCTACCAATTACATTATAGAATAGTTCTTCGGTATATTAAATATTTAATATTTATATATAATCTCTTTGTTATTTATTTCGTATGACATGCTATATTTCATTATGCTATTCATCATTATGAAGCCAAAAGAAATCACCCTTATCCCCAACACAAAACCAAAAAATAAATAGAACGAAAGAAATTCGAAAAACCACTATTGGCAATCACTTGCAACATAACGATATTAATGTTATTTTAATAACTTAACAATCAGCAGACAACAAAAAAATCCCCCTGCAGGTTATATGGCCAACCAAGATTAACATCGATCTAAAACCATTAATAAAGGCCACACGATTGGAAGGCAGGCGTTTTTCTTCTGTTGCTTGTTGACTGTAAACATATGATTATTTCAAGCATTTAGAATCGATTCGAACCACAAGACACCTAACTAAGCCCACACAGACACACACCCCAAGCAAACAACCAACAAATACACACACACTCAATCATTTTTCATTTTTTAGCATGTAGTTTGTAGCTACAATACGAAGGACATGACATGTATGCTTGGCTGACTGGTTGTCAGTCAAGCAGCCATATACTTCAATGTCTCAGAAGGGATTCTTTAGTCAAGAAGAAAAAAATAAGACGAAGAAGAGGAAAATAAAATAAAAAAGGTTAAAACCCATAACGTCTTCTTTTTTCTCTCTATCTCGCTGTTTTGATACATTGACATTTTAAGGCTTTAACCTAAATACCACCTGATGTCTTCTTGAACTTTACAAACTGATTGATGGCTTTAGACGTTTTGTGAATAATTTTAATGTGTGAGTGTCTCTCTGTGCGTGTGTGTGTGACGACGTGTTGTATTTGCTACAGGGAGTGTTGTCATTAAGAGATTTTGTGGTAAAAACAAACCTAAAAGGCGCTTGTCTCACACATACATATACACACAAGCATTTTACTCTTCTTCAACAAGTCACCACTGATTGTCAAGGCTAAAATCTGCTGAAGCCTTGGCACCAGTCAGGTGCCACGAGCCAAAGATTAACCCCCAGCCTAAAAAGAAAAAAATTCTACGAAAAAATACAATTTTCATTTCTAGGAAAATCATTCAGTCTCTTCTTTCTCATCATCATGGTCTCAATAGTAAATTTGATGAAACCATTTTTTTCTTTCTAAATTCTTAGAAATTGTCATTGATTTTTATTTTCGGCGCAATCCTGTCAATTATACGCCAGAATTTTCTCATGGAATGTTCAATAAGTCATTTCAAATCGTTGTATTTGCCAGAAATGTTAATAGACAGGAGGAGAACGGTATGTTTTTTGTTCCCTGTGTCTTGCCAATTTCAAGGTTACAAGGCCATAAATCATATATAATGTAGCTGTTGTTGTTGTCAGGCCTATTTTCGAAAATTTCTTATTAAATGAAAATTCAATCAATATAAAGTAGAAGGAAAAGAAAATAATGACTGTATTGGAAAAACCCCCAGTGGTAAGTGGATAGAAAAAAAAATATATTAATATTTTATTGAGGGACATTTAGTGTAAGTGGACTAAGCGGTGGTGAGTCAATGGGAAATTGAGAAATTAAAAAAGAAGAAGAAATAATTCACCACAATGATGGGTCTTTAAAGTAAAGAAAAAAAGTGAGATATAAATTTATTGTTGGAAAAATATAGAAAATACATTGTGGCTAGAGAAAATTGATATTAAGAATTGAACAAAAATTAAACAAATAAAAACTTAGTTAAATTCGGCCCTCCTCCGTGAGGTGAGCATTAAAAATATCTAAAATCGGTCATTATTTTAATATGGGGACTATGCCATTATAAATTACTGTACAAAACAAAAATACACTCCTCCATGTGTCCTATTATAGGTCGTTATTGGTAAGAAATAACAAAAAATATATAATTACAGCCAATTCGGCTGAATGTGTGCCTGAAATCCGCAAATTGGGTGTATCCTAATATAAGGGCTTTAACAAGACTTACAACACCGATTCAATTTTGGTAGGATGATTTTACCCACAATCAGAACGCAAAATATTAATTTATATTCACAAATGTGTCCTAATTCCCCCAAAATATCGAATAATAAGGAGTAATGCTATATGAAGTTACCAGACAATTGGACCAATGTTTATAATTGTTGGTAAGGAGATTTTCTTCCAAAAATATTCCAAACAGCCACCCTAAAAATGGAACATTTATATTAAAAATATTTTGTTAAAAGGCTTCCTACGGAACCATAACTCAATTGGTGGGGTACCGATATATAGTGGAAACACCAAAATGTGAACCGATATAACCCAATTTCAAAACAATTCAACCTAGAGATTGTAAGAAACAGATGGTAAGGTGGAATTTAATCGACATAGAATTTTGTGCGGACAACGAATATCCTCTTGTAGACTTTATGAGGTCTGCGTTGGATATTTTGAGGTGTTGTGAACGGAATGACAACTTTAATATCCACTCCACCTTATGGTATAGGATATAACAATAGGACCGCTGTGCTTCAGATACCTATATAAGTCCGTTACAGGTGACAGATCATGGGTCTGTGCATGTAAGCCCAAACCAAAACAGCAATCGGGCTGAGAGACAAATCCAATGAAAATTGTTTGTGCAATAAGCACTTCGAAACAAATGGTCGACTGTTTCATGGGCAAAATTGGTCATTTGGCGACTATTCCGCTTGAGCAGCATTGGTGGTCATGTCTTAATAATACACCACAATTTGTTAAAAAAAATCGGAGAAAATTTAGAAACGAATAAGTGAAGACGAAGAATAAAAAGTGCCTACCTTCGTCGAACCTCTCCCACATCGGTCTTTTAGGGCTGTCAAAACATTTAATTGATGGGTCATCCGCCGTGGAACTCGGTAGAATTTGTGGTCCTCCGGCGTGGCGCCCATGGCACCCGCACATTAAAAAAAATGAGGGGCCAATGATGGAGGGTATTATGAATTTTGATGACATAAGTCCAGAATTATGGTATCTATAGAAGAAATAATTTGGACCATATTTGCCATAAATCGTTCTACAGTCAGCTAGGCCTCCTGCTCCAAAATTTGCTGGCAATTGGGCATATGTTGGGTTTTTGACAACTATATATGGAAGTTATATCTAAATCGTAACCGACTCCCAAAAATTTCAATTGGGTTCGTTTTTGATCTATTAAAGGGTCACAACAAATTTATACCAATTGACATGTGTATTGTAGAGACTGGAGCGTTTAGACATATTGTAAGGCCTGTGTATCACCGTTTCGCTCGTTCCGCCCAAAATATCGCTGCTGTAAGTGAAAGTATTGCCGAAGGTCCGAATGTGTTACATCTAGGAACTAGGAATATCGTACGGCACAATTTGGCGTATTTTGCGTTTAGATAAACTCCTACCTCATATAAAGCCTACCTCTCACAAAAACTGCAACGAGCTTACCATTCACAGCGTTGTAGATACGTACTTAAACAACAGGCGGAGAACGACAATTTTTCTATGAATCACATTTATTATTCGATGGGCATGTAAATAAACAAAATTGTCGTATTTCGAATTCTGAAAATCGTCAAGTAATTGGAGAGAGACCACCATATGCAGAAAAAGTCATTTTTGGTGCCCTCTTAGGTCCGATGACCCTCATGGGTTATTCCTTTTATTCCTGTTGTTGAAGAATACGACTTAGAGAATATGGGGTTTTAAAAATACAGTGTCCCTTGTCACTCAATTTTTTAAAACCAAAAATATTAGTGTACACATTTTTTTCGACTAAATTTAAATATTAATTTTTTATAATTAATATAAAGTACATTATACTTCAGCCATTCATATTTTTCCTTCTCATGTATTTTTCAAATATTTCCTACTTCATGATTAAATTTATATCTCCCCCAATAATAAATTTTGTTTTCTTCTTAAAAAAAAATATTTTAAATATTTCTTCAACAATTATTTCCAGTGAAAAGCCTCTTCATTTATTTTAATAGGCATATTTACTTCCCACTACAAATTTGTTGCCCTGCTTAATAACCGTTAATGTTCATAATATCTTAAGACTGACCCTTATCTAAATATGAATAATATTTCAACATTATGCTATAGTCGACATTTTTTGTATAGAAGATTAATTTCCCTCGGTGACATTCATTTTGGGCAGTTCTGCTTAAAATTTTTGTTCTTTGGTGTTCATTGCATTCCGCATCAAATACGGGTATAATTTAGCAAATTATGTACTTAACTTTTTATCGTAACCCCTTTTATTTGTAGATGACCAACCAATTCAGCTCAGCGACCCTTCATTACACACAAAATTTGTCAATGGTGAAGAGAGGAAAACAACAATTTCAATGGAAAACTTAGTCAGTTGACAGTTACGAAAATTTGTTTTACAGATGGTGAGGCAAAGAAAAAGGTCAAAAATTCGGAAAAATTACAGAAAGAAATTAGGGGGACTTCTTGTGAATGTGTGTGCTTGTGTGTGTCTAATTCCTTCTGTTTGCCCTTATTTGTATTTACTACCACATCAAGAAGCCGAAAAAGTAAGTTAAGAAGTACATCATCAGCCAACAAATCAT